CTCGCGCCTTCGGCGTTCGCTTCGCCCCCCCAAAAATGAAGGTCTGGCTACGCCACTGAGTATAACTATAAATTTAGTATACACCAAGGTATGATTGCACTCTAGCTAAATCTGCTATATAGGCTATTTTGTCATCGATACAATGGAAATATGTGTTTATATATCACAAAATTACATCATACACAAATATAAAATGAAAGCGTTTAACAGAACATATTCTGATATTCACCAAACAAATTCTTGCGTGCACTATAGCTAGATTTGTTGTCGCCAACCAAAACAGTCGGCATGTTTCTTTGTCTGTTTATTACTTTAACTGATAGATATATAGCTACACTGTATTAGTAGCATCAGACGATTTCCCTAAAATTTATACCTGTATATACTGATGAAGTCATATTATTTGACAGCTAAAAATAAAATTATCACAATCGTTCCATTTAAATATTGAAGTTTATAAATCTGTTAAAACATACGCGACAAATTTGTTCTAACAGCGAGAAATTTTAAGCCAAATACATGACCCTTCCAATTATTATCAAGTAAAACGACGCCATTTCCCATTCACACTAACACCGCTGGAAAAAACGAAGCCCGCGCTTCCGGGAGCAAAATGCGTAGCAACCGATCACCGTGTTTATTCATACTCCTATACGAAAACATTTTCTGGACAAGAACGTTATAATTGCTTTCGTAGCACTTTTTCCAAATTAGCACTCGGCGGGCCTGCGTATATGCAGGTATGCTTGACCACAAAGATTCCAGCAACATTACCAATTCTCCAACGGTTCTCAACAAAAAGGGGGCCATGTTCCCCCTGCCCCCCCCCCGGCCACGGCGCCACTGCTCGTAAAACCTACAATATGTTTAAACGTACTTGTGTTGTCTCTTATTCTTTATTAATGTCTTCATTTCTTTAACTTTTTGCCATTTAACAAAACTTGTTCGCTTATTGTTGCTATGCTACAGCACTCAGGGAGGTACCGAAGCCGTGTCTTTTGCAAACAAAAAGGTTTCCGGTTAACAAAAATATTTATTGGATTTCAAAATGAATATAATAAAGTGAAAATTGAACTTCGTGTTGTGCAATTTTGGACTGAAATGAAACTTGTATTTCAGTCCAAATTGCACTCCACTCAGTCCAATTACCATTTTTTATTATATACATGACAAAATTACTGCAATCTTATTGGTTAAAGACCATGTCAAGTCCGTAATGTAAATAAATCCTTTGTTTACATTTTGAACTGCTATATTTGTAAAATAAGACATACTAACTGAATATCTAACACTTTTCTGGTTCGCTATTGTAAATGAATATAAACTAGAGTAGGTTTCAATTCAAAAACGTTCGAAAGATGCAAAATTTGGGCAATGTTTATATCTGTGGGTCCCCTTTGTTATGAGCAGAACTGATGTGCAGAACGGACTTGATGGTATATACTATTTTCTTCAAGATTGGTTTAGAAACAAACTTGGAGTAGGGTTAGGTTAGGGTTAGATTTCGTTTTAAGCCAATCAGCGCGTTTGTTTACATTTTCCCTCTTGACCAATCAGAATGCTTAAAATTTAAAAACGTAAACAAAAAGAGCGAGAAAATATTATCGTAATCTAAGGCTTCCGTGGGCTACTAATAGATTCTAATAGAAATTACATATATCTTGAATTTTGTCGTGGGACGTTTTAAATTTCGACACAGAACGCGAAATATCGATGTTTGAATTACCGCCGTGATTCAGCTCTGTAGCCGCATTGAGAAATAACGCTGTTTTCATTGGGGAAATTTTGTAGATTTTCCTCCGTTTTATAGTGCATGCATATTCTGGTATAATTTACTTTACTGTACCTCTGATCGTGTTGTCGGAAATACGTCAAAAATTTATATTGGGCGGTGATCAGAGGGCGGTGATAAAGTGGTATGTCATATCCGGTTTCTTGTTCGCTCTCGATGCACGCGCCTGTTCCTCGAGCTGTTTGATTGATTTTGTCCCTAAATACAATATTTGCTTGTTTGTTTTAAATAATTTTCAATGAGAAAACATCGAAACAGTACGTATATACTGTACAAAGTGCCAGTGGAAATAGATGGAACCATTTTGCTACAGCACTGTGTTTAAAATGGTGTCAATGTCGTTTCCAATGTCGGATTCGTTGCAGCAAATATGTATCAATTGTCCTTTCGTTTTCTCTATCTTCTGACTGGATCTCGTGCTTATCATCATCGTCGTCTGCTTCGCTTTCGTTGTCGTTTTCTATGTCTTCTGCCTCGTCTTCGTTTTCCTGCAAAGTCGCTCTCAGATCATGGTTGAAAACAGCCTCGTTCGCTACCTTGCCAAGGACCACGAGCTTTGTCAGCAATTTCGACTGACAAATTTGGCAAACACTTATGTCAGGCAAAACACATTCAATGTGGAAAGAATGACCACAACCATGAAATAATTTCCACAAGGGGCTTTCTTTCTCGCATTCAGGTAAATCGCATTCTCTATGACGTAAATAAAGCATAAGAATAATTAAAGAATAAAGAATTAAAGAATAAAGTAAGTTAGTTGTAACCTATTTAGAAAAACTGTCGGTCCGAATTGTTTTTTTTTGTCTTTTAGATATTTGTTTCAAGAATTTTAAATGTTTGTTTGTAGGTCCCTTTTCTTTCATTTTGTCTGGAATTAATGAAATTTTCTATAAATCCTTCAGTTTTTACATACACTTTGCATGGTGTGTTCTAAAAATATAAAATTGAAACAATATAATTAGAATAATTTGGGTACATTTTCAAACATTCTTTTATTTTGTAACAAGTACTATATTTTTATGTTATTTCAGTTATTTTTTTCTTGAATGTGGAAGATGGTTAAATAAGAAGGATAAGTAATGTTAAATTTGTATGATTGAGTTTAACCATTAAACCACAATAAAATGCACTGCTGTCAGACAAGGCCAGACAATTTTACTCACCATCCAAGTGAAATCTTGTGGTTTAATGGGTTAACCAAACAATCTGTGCACCCTACTTTATTATTACACTGGCCTGTAGGCCAAGTATCTTAAATCCCTCTTTTTCTGTTTTTTCCGTACTCGAGAAATGGAGTTTGCGTTAGTTCATCGCAGGCTCAGGGTGCAACGATTAAGCCAAAATGCCATCGATTCCCTCGGTTCCATGATTTAGAAGGTATAGTAATAAGCTCGTATTTATGTACGTAATAGTCGACTCATGCCATGCTTGTGGTACATTTTTCGTTTATTAGCCCATACACTTGTACGCACGCGCACAATTCCCAACTCCAATGGCGACTTTTCACAGAGTGATCAAACTATATTTTACTCAGTTTCGTTGAATTTTCAAAGAATTGTGCCGGTTTCCTATGGATTTTACGGTGTGTCGTACTCTGGACTTTCTTGCGTGTTGAATTAATGTGTTTTTCTTTGTGTAACGATCGACTCGAAAACCACAAAATTTGGACCCAGCGAATTTATACAATATATAGAAGGATATTTAAAAAAGGACAAGTTAAAGGTTTGACAGTTTGACTTTTTAATAAACAACTATAAATATACGTCGTGGACTCATAACATCCGTTGTGTACTTGTGTTAATTTTTGCGTCGCACTCTGGACTTTCTTGTCTGTTGAATTAATGTTTTCCTTTCTGTATTAAATTAAACGACTTGAAAACCCCAAAATTTCATAAATTTGTACCCAGCGAATTTATACAATATATTGGAATATAAACAAGGACAAACTCTCCTAATTCCTTACGATAGTTTTAGTCAAATGTCGACAATATACCTTTAAATACATGTATTAAAATCCGCGCAGTACTAGAATTAAGAGAATTTCGCTGGCCGCTGGGTGCGGAAATTTTAGTACTGCGCGAAATATAATCCGCGCGAAAAGCTTTGTGGTAGGTATACTAAAGATAAGGTGTGCGTTCAAAATACCAACAAGAACTAGAACCATTATTGTATGGTTCTCATTTGCTAGACTTGCCACAAGTCGACCTCGAAGAAACGCATTTCGTTCGAGGTCGACTTGTGGCAAGTCTAATTATTTGCCTAATACAATAACATTTAGTTCGACGCGAATTTTAATACAAGTATGGTATCATATTTCATAATATAACAAACAATGTAAACTAGCCATACATTTTGCCGAATATAACTTCGGCCCCTTTGGACATATCTTTTTCGTAATAATATTATTGGAACCAGAATCGAAAACACTATTTATAGTGTTATTTTCAAGCTTGTGTCTTGGGATTTTCATCTTTTATTTCGGTATTTACAGAATATTTATATTTTTTAGCGCGGCGATCAAAACAACGCGCTGTTTAGGAAAAACCGGAAATCGATTCTGTAGGTCGGCATGATTTGCACGTGCATCAATCGAGCTATAAACGTGCGTGCGATATTTTGAAAAATTCAAAATAAATATTCCTACTCTGTGCCGTATTCAAACGAAACTTTGCACATGAAAGCGCTTGAATACAAGATGTATTTTACTCACATTGACTCTGAGCAAATTCTGAAGAGTTACTAAAGAATACTAAAGCAGGGTGCATTGCCTGTTAATGGGTTAATAAGAGACCAATGTCAGATGTGTTTGCTAACGCATTTACTGACAGTACTCTGCCACTAACAAGTAAAATCGTAACTCCTAGTAATAGATTTGCACCATTACGTCTCCCGAAAAAGTCTTTTATTTTTTTAAAAAGTCCATAAAATTTGCTTGCGGTTTAAGATTTGTATTCCTGCCTTTCGCACCATAGCACATATCTCGTTTTTTTCAGGCCAGTGTGAACGCCTGAGCAGGCGTCTTGTTTTAGGTACCGGTCATTAATTAGGGCAGGGGTTGGGGCCGAAGAGAAAATGGTTGGGTAAATGAAAATTCCCAGGCCTCAAAGGTTGGGTAAAAGAAAAAAAATACCTCCCTCAAGGTTGGGTAAAAATATTTTGGAACAACATTTATTTAAAAACAAAGTATTGTATACAAAAATAGAAAAGTTCATAGATTGTCATCTAAAATGTCAATAACAATGTCATCATCACCAGACATGTCACTCATTGTGTTTGGACATCCCACTTTGGACTTTTCTACAATGCTTCGCTTCTTCTTTGTCTTAGATTTTTGTTCTTTGACTCTTTTAGCTTTCCGTTTCTTTTCATTTTCATTCACCGAGGCCACATCAAATCTTTTTGCCAACTGATTACTGACATACTCAATGTCATGTGCAATATTATTGGATTCAGTCAGCATGCTTTCTACATGTGTTGTCATTTCTTGAACAAAATTTATTTCATTACTTGCCCATTTCTTCGGCTCAAGATTATCTGTATATAGCTCCATTTTTCTATTCGATAACTTGCT